AGTTCACGCAGTACATCTCTCATTGCAAGGTTAAGGTGTAGGCTCAACCTCAATTGAAACACCTATGAAGGTTGCAGTGCAAAAATATGCGCACGAAGTGTACCAACCTACCTCAAACTTCAATTCCTATCCCTGCTTCTATAAATAGGCAGGAGATCCAAACATTGCACTAGCAATATTTTAATGTTTGGTTATAAAACTGTAATGATGGCCTAAATCTGGTATCTATCATTATTATCAGAGATGCGTATGCAGATAAAGTTTAAATTAGAAATTCAAATATATGCATTCAAAGACTTCCATTTTGAGTCCTTTGAAATCAGAGATTACTTGCTATGACAGGAAGTCTATAACAATTACAAATATTCAGGCCGATATCTGTAGATTGCAGATGTACAGAAGGTTCTCTGATGTCTTTTATTGCTTTCCTATGCTAACAAAGATCAAATCCCTGATAAGAGAACGCCTATCTTTTCCATGACAACCATTCACCATTACCTCAACCCTGGTGATTACAGAATTCGACTTATTCCAAAGTACCCCTATCCAATGGATGGTGACTCCCAGTTGCTCTCCATTTATGTTCGAAGTCAAACCGTGAAGGTGAAGAGACGAGGCTGGAAAGAGTCCGAATGGACAAGCGGACAATCGGACAACGGAGGGACGAGAGCTAGAGACGCAGCGAAGGCTTGCTGCTAGCAGCCCCCGACCACCGACGGCCGAGACACCAACACGCACATCCCCACATTTGAATGCCATCGCCAAAGCGCCGACTATTCAGTCATCACGTAAACGTCTCTCAGACACATCACTACAGCGCTCGAGAAGTTTCTATGGTTCGGAATGGATTGAGAAGAAAATACGGTTTTTGTGCAATTGCAGTTTCAATACCGTATGATTGATTCTGAGATAACACTCAAATTCGAGCTCATTAGTGCTTAAAACAACTGAATTCATGGCTATAAGGCGCCTCTAGCGCAGTAAATGGGGCTTCACATATAGGCAGTTATTCAAAATTAAGAGTCGAAGATAAAAAATATATGATTGCTTATACTGAACTAAAATTTCAACTTTGAAAATCAAAACTTAAGCAAGATGTCTGCGCAATATCTATGCATTATGACTATGGCCGAACAGTTCTCGAACTCCGAGTGTTGCAGAAACAATTAAAATGACAAATAAAAATTTCCTAGCTCTGATGAAAACAACAGCCTTTTTCGTCTTGCTCAAATATTCGTTTTTGCATACCATCCTGCAGGACGTGCACTGAAAAGCTTGTACAAGGTTATATTAGAAAATACATTTAAGATATGAAGAACTGGTTTTACAATATTAATCAAAATTTGAGAGTATGTAGCAGTAAGATACAAGAAAGAGCTATAT